ATGTGGCCAAGTTGTTCAGTAGAATGAGTTCTAGAATCATAATGCAGTTTTTATGTGGTAATAGATCCAACCTTTAAAGGAATAGTACACCCAAAACATGATTAGCCTTCATTTTCTACTCACCCCCATGCTGAACAACACTCTGGAGTACTTTTTTGATATCTCAAATGCATCTGGAGATCTGGGAGGCTTCTTGCTGTCTGCTGACATTCAAATAATGGAGGTCTACGGTGCCCGAGGCAGAAAGGTCCACAAAAGTCCACAAAAACGTGTCAATATTCCTCCATACTGCTCGTCCAATGTAATCCAAGCGTCCTGAGTGGGTAGCGTCCATAATTTACTCGAAACGAATTCATTTAGAACGTTTTAGAGCCTAAACAGTAGTGTATAGGATTTCCTAATAGCGCCCCCATGCGCGTTCACGATTCTACGGAAGCCGGCAGACCAAACCAGCGCATTCAGCTCGGCAAAGAACTCATGCTCTTCCTCAACACTGAAGTCCTCAGACATTTTTCTTTCGTTGTTTCTTTCTTTGCACAGGTAAACAGCACATTTCTTCTTCTACGCTTGCATTATCAGCAGAGCAGACACTGAATGCGCACTTTCATCTGGTTTGGTCTGTCGGCTTCCGTAGAATCGTGAACGCGCATGGGGGCGCTATTAGGAAATCCTATACACTACTGTTTAGGCTCTAAAACGTTCTAAATGACTTAGTTTCGAGTAAATTTTGGATGCTACCCACTCAGGACACTTGGATTACATTGGACAAGCAGTATGGAGGAATATTGACACGTTTTTGTGGACTTTTGTGGACCTTTCTGTCTCGGGCACCATAGACCTCCATTATTTGAATGTCAGCAGACAGCAAGAAGCCTCCCAGATCTCCAGATGCATTTGAGACATATAAAAAGTACTCCAGAGTGTTGTTCAGCATGGGGGTGAGTAGAAAATGAAGGCTAATCATGTTTTGGGTGTACTATTCCTTTAACCTCTATTCTATAGTGAAAGTGTGAGGAGAATCATGATGATTGTTCAAATGAAAAATAATAAACAAAATAGCTTTCCATATCTTTCTGTGGCATTTTTATACTGTAGTTCTTGGAGGTTCTACGCATCAATACATAAGAAAGTAACTAAGTTCTGAAAATTATACAGAAAGGTATTGATATTATAAATATAATTTGGGTTTTTGAAAACTTTTAAATGCATGTTCTTTTGATTACTTAAGTATTTTTCAAAAGTTAGTACTTCAATAATATAACTTTAGTAGATGTTTGACGGAATAAATTTTACTTCTAGTTAAGATTGGACATCTTTTTTGACAACGCTTAAATTATTCTCTTTGGGGTTCGGGCTAGAATAATTTAATGATAATGTAATATATTGCTCTAATTTATATTATTAAAAAAAAAAACATCTCAGTAAGGTCTCTCAGCAGAGGGAAGCAAAAAGGGATCTAAACATTTCCTGGTAGATGGCTTTGCTGACTTTGTACGAAAGGAAACCTTGGTGGAAACTTCACACTCAAGTCTCTAGCAATCGTGTTCTTTTTTTCCCCAGCAGATTTTCCTTCCACTTAACTTTCTTAACTTTCTAATGATAAACCTTTAGCCTCTGTAGCAATAGGGGTTTGGAGTGTCACAAAACAGCATTCTTCTTCACTCTGTAGAACTTCAGATGTTACATACGTATTTAATATCTCGTTTTATTTGGCTTAAATAAAAATAACATTTTCTGAGAAGCTGAATTGTACGTTTTTATAAGATGTAAGCCATAATTCTCTCAATAATCTAAAACAAGCAGTTTAAATATTACATGACAATCTGTGTAATGAATCTCTATATCTGATTTTTTTCTAACTGAATAATAAATTAACCTTTCAGTGATGCTCTGATTTATTCAGATGCACATGTGCAAACCTACCTGACATCGCGACATTATCTGGTTTAACTATAATATAATAATTTAAGGATTAAACATTAGAAATCATGTTATTGTTATTAGTCTTTGAACAAATCACCTGGATATTGATGGATGAATCGTAGGCAGAACTAAAAGGCATAACAGGCAGAATAACTAACTTGTAACTATAAAATGTAATCTATGGAAAAAATTAGGGTGATAATATGGAGGTCTCTCATAACCAAATATAAATATGATAAATGATCAAAATACCATTGAAACCTAAAATCACAAGTTTGTGTGCTGTAATACCAATAAAATATATGTATATGTATATATATATATATATATATATATATATATATATATATATATATATATATATATATATATATATATATATATATATATATATATATATGTATATATATATATATGTATATGTATATATATGTATATGTATATATATATATATATATATGTATATATATATATATATATGTATATATATATACACTATATTGCCAAAAGTATTTGCTCACCCATCCAAATTATTGGAATCAGGTGTTCCAATCACTTCCATGGCCACAGGTGTATAAATTCAAGCACCTAGGCATGCAGACTGTTTTTACAAACATTTGTGAAAGAATGGGTCGCTCTCAGGAGCTCAGTGAATTCCAGCGTGGAACTGTGATAGGATGCCACCTGTGCAACAAATCCAGTCGTGAAATTTCCTCGCTCCTAAATATTCCACAGTCAACTGTCAGCTGTATTATAAGAAAATGGAAGTGTTTGGGAACGACAGCAACTCAGCCACGAAGTGGTAGGCCACGTAAACTGACGGAGCGGGGTCAGCGGATGCTGACGCGCATAGTGCGAAGAGGTCGCCAACTTTCTGCAGAGTCAATCACTACAGACCTCCAAACTTCATGTGGCCTTCAGATTAGCTCAAGAACAGTGCGCAGAGAGCTTCATGGAATGGGTTTCCATGGTCGAGCAGCTGCATCCAAGCCATACATCACCAAGTGCAATGCAAAGCGTCGGATGCGGTGGTGTAAAGCACGCCGCCACTGGACTCTAGAGCAGTGGAGACGCGTTCTCTGGAGTGACGAATCGCGCTTCTCCATCTGGCAATCTGATGGACGGGTCTGGGTTTGGCGGTTGCCAGGAGAACGGTACTTGTCTGACTGCATTGTGCCAAGTGTAAAGTTTGTTGGAGGGGGGATTATGGTGTGGGGTTGTTTTTCAAGAGCTGGGCTTGGCCCCTTAGTTCCAGTGAAAGGAACTCTGAATGCTTCAGCATACCAAGACATTTTGGACAATTCCATGCTCCCAACTTTGTGGGAACAGTTTGGAGCTGGCCCCTTCCTCTTCCAACATGACTGTGCACCAGTGCACAAAGCAAGGTCCATAAAGACATGGATGACAGAGTCTGGTGTGGATGAACTTGACTGGCCTGCACAGAGTCCTGACCTCAACCCGATAGAACACCTTTGGGATGAATTAGAGCGGAGACTGAGAGCCAGGCCTTCTCGTCCAACATCAGTGTGCGACCTCACAAATGCGCTTCTGGAAGAATGGTCAAAAATTCCCATAAACACACTCCTAAACCTTGTGGACAGCCTTCCCAGAAGAGTTGAAGCTGTTCTAGCTGCAAAGGGTGGACCGACGTCATATTGAACCCTATGGATTAGGAACGGGATGTCACTTAAGCTCATATGTGAGTCAAGGCAGGTGAGCAAATACTTTTGGCAATATAGTGTATATATATGTATATGTATATATATATATATATATATATATATATATATATATATATATATATATATATATATATATATATATATATATATATATATATATATATATATATATATATATATATATATATATACATATATTTTATTGGTATTACAGCACACAAACTTGTGATTTTATGTTTCAATGGTATTTTGATCATTTATCGCAATGTCTTAATTCAGATATCTAAAATTGTAATACTGACTAGGCATAATTACGTTCGAGATATCTGAAATTATAATTACCGATGTGTGACGCTTTAAATGACGAATCCGGTGACATAATTTGAGATATCTTGAAAGGAATACTGACTAGTCAAAATGTGATTTAAGATATCTTGAATTATTATTCTTCCTAATCAGAATGTAAATATAGATATCTTAAATTACGGTTCCGGATAGTCAAAATGTGGTTTTGTCTAGTCAAAAAGTATTGTAAGATATCTGGAATGTAATTATGGATAGTCAGACGAAACCGAATTTATGTTAAAACGGCTTGCCATAGACTTCATACAAGTTAATGTTAAATCTGACGTCGTTTTGACTAGTCAGAATGTAATTAGAGATATCTCGAATAGGTATTTTGACTAGTCAAAATATAGTTAGAGATATATTAAATCGCTAAAACGTCTAGTCATAAAACAATTTGAGATATCTAAAGGCGGTACCACCGAATTCATGTTAAAATGGCTTGCCATACCACATACTTCTCCAACCATTTCATTAAATTCAGAGATAACGCTGCACACTCTGTCAATGTTACTTATGTGCTCGGTTTTAAAGGAACAGGGAAGGAACAAGAAACCCCCAACATGAAATCTTTTTTTGAACAAATTTATAAATATATATAGTTCTTATCAGGCTGGTATCTATTGTGACCTCCTCAGAGGCTGATGGTTCTGCTGTTCCAGTCGCTCTTCTGACCCGATCTGTTACTTTGGCTGCGTCCAGCTGTAGGACTCTGAGCCTTTTCCCTCCTCTCTGCTCCCTCTTAGCTTTTAATGGTTTATTATCCATAATCATAAACCATAAACGGAGCATTGTCTCTAAACCAGACCACCTCAAATTAAAAACTAAAAACCTCGGTGGATGGTGAGCTGAGCTACGGGCTGAGGAGGGAGAGACTTCAAGTTAAGAAACAAAATCGTCCCCATTTATAAATCCTGAATTCAATTGTTTTTGTTTAAACATTCAAACGGTTTATAACGTTGTGACGTAGTTCGCCGCAGGCGGTCCCAGCGAATGGGAACGCCCCCATACCGCGTCAACGGTCGTTGGAACTGTGACGTCACAGACATTCACACATTTTCCTAAAGGGGAGTTAGTCAAATCATTCCCACGAGGAGCAGCGTCGAAGGCAGACTGACTGTACTTTTATCCAACATTGACAATTACCCAGAGGAACTAAAACCAACATCAGGAATGGCCTTTTTAAATGAAACGATGAGCAGAAATATCTCCATCTCCATTCCAAACCCGGAGGAATTAATCCTCCCAGAACTGAAAAGATTATCACCAGCAGAATGGACCCTGCTTATACGGGGTGAGAAAAATTCACAAATTACCGTAGTCCTCGCAGATATTCTCACCAACATATTTCAGAAATGTGTGGAGCAGACGATTAATTTCCTACTTCCAACGATTGAAGAGATTATGGCTGCTAAAACAAAGCCAGAAACCACTGGAAAAATCAATGTGAGATTGAGCAGCCAGATTTCAACAGAAATTGCAAATGTTCTTCAAGCTTCACCAGATTTCAGTGCTGAGGGAGAAGAATTAAACGCATTGATGGAAGAGGAGGTCTCCGATAAAGTTACATTTCTGGTAAACGAGATCATAAAGACCCCTGAGTTTTCCGAGGAACCAGCGGTATACGTGAGCAGATGCTTCATGGACCTGAAAAAGTTTAGAAAACTGGTTTTAAACGCAGGTGAATGTGTCAGAAAAAATTTGTGCGGAGTCCGTTTTAATTACCCTGAGAGATACTGGCATTCATTCACAAGAAAGGAGGTTTCAAATTTGGCTTCAGGCCAAGAAGGGACTACATTGCTCTCTTCAGAGGAACGTGTAATGACTCCGTCCTTAGAGGAGTCCGTGACCAATGGCATCGCTGATACAATTGTTAATTCCACAGCCATCTTAGATGAACACGAAGAACCAGAACAATTGGTTGATCAATTTCAAATAGAAGAACTGACAGAGGAAATCAGCAGAACAATCATAAAGGAAATCAGTTCGGGTGGAAAACCACAGAGCCCTGCAGGTGACCCCGCTTTTAACATTGAAAAAATAGTTTTCAACCTCAAAAACATTTTCCGATCAAGGCTCAGAACTGGCAACTCAGATGCAATAACCAAACCTGAATTCTCCCAGTTTGTCAAACAGCAGTTTAAACACATGTTGGCTTCTGTGAGGAAAGCTTTACTTACAGGTGACGCAAAGCTGGTAAAGCTGAACTGTTGTGAATGGAGCCAAATCATTTTCCCTGGATGTACACCGGACTATTCATCATCAGAAGAGGACATCCCAAATAAAATGGACTACAAGGACACAAAATACATTCCCAAAACAGATTATCAAACCATCAAATCTCAAATTGATGTCTTGTGTGCAGAACCTTTGGAAAATCCATTTCTGAGTGACATGATCCAAGATTTTGCAAAGGAACTGACTGATCAATTATACTCAGACATCATGAGGGAGCATTGTAGTAAAATTCCGATTCCTCCAAAAGGAAAGTGGCTGTCAGATTCTGTCCTCTCTGTAAAGAAAACTAGAGGCACTTCTAGGCAGATCCAAATTTGCCCTGAAGTTTTCTATGCCAGAACTGAAGACGAGGTTAAGCTGTTCCTTGGAAAAATCTTTCTTTGGATAAAAACAGAAGAAACGGAGGGGATAAGTGAAGGAGACAAAGTGTGCAGCTTAGTCTCAAAGATCGATGATCTGGTGGAAACATTGTCATGTCGAACGGAAAGCCCAAAAGCCAATGTTTTTCAAGAACTAGGGCCGAGCACACCCCAACCTCAAAATGAAGAAGAGAATTTTCTTTTCCAAGAATTAGGGTCCATCTGTACACTGACAGACAGCAACCAATGCACCCCATGTACATCGGAGGGAGATGCTGACCGGTCTGCATCTGACACTGGTGATTCACTCTTTGCTATTGATAGGAAACCCTTTGTTCTGCCAAAGAAAACACCAGAAAGATTTGATGAGAACAAACATTTGGCTTTCTTTGTAATGAACACAATTTTCAATTGTTCAAAGAAAAGAGGCGGACCCCTGACGTCATTAGAGATAAGACATATCTTATCCAAACTGTCAGGAAAGAAAGTAAAGAAACTTGCAGACCTGACTAAAGATGAAGAACTAGTAAAAAAGCTCGTTACGGATATCTGCAAACAACTAAGGGAGGAGTATGGCTCGGATCAAGAACTATACAGTTCTATGGCATCAGACACTGTTTGTCCAGTTCAGACTGTAGTGTTAAAATATTTAAGAAGTCATCTTCCAAAACCCCAACCTAGTACCTTCCATGTGGGAATTAGAAATTTTTTTAAGGGCCTGTTCAGAAAAAAGTGATCCTCTACGAGCCTGTAGATGAAAATACGGGTTTGTCTGTCTGTCTGTCTGTCTGTCTGTCTGTCTGTCTGTCTGTCTGTCTGTCTGTCTGTCTGTCTGTCTGTCTAACTGGTTTTCTCCAGGTACTCTGGTTTTTCCATAAAAAACAAACATTAATCTAAGGGGGTATTTTAAATATGCAACCTCAATGGGACGATAACTTTAAAAGCAACAAGAACCGTCTTTTTTTTTTATTTTATTTTTTATACCTGTTAATGTGATGCTATGTGTTTGCACCTTGAAGCTTTCTCTCTCTGGTTCTTTTTCCTAAAAAGAGATCACTCTTGACAAACTCTTTAAATAACACTTCGTAACGTACATGTATAAAATAACCATGAGACATGACAACAGATTTCTATTGTAATCTTACTCAGATCAGAGAAATTACTTAGGGTCACAGAAGGCAGCTGCTTACCAACCGGGCTCACGTCTAGTGAAGTGGCCACGATTCACAGTTAGAGAAGCATTTTATACAAGTCCAGTCTGCCACATCATCACATCATGTATGTTAGCAGATGAGGAGACATCCATGGCTCCGGCCTTATCACAATATTAGATATTGTTCTTAGCTTAATCTGTTTTCAAAATAATATAAAGCTGCATTGGATTTAGAAATATTTTCGACGAAAATTTACAAGCTAGATAATAATTAAGATAACCACACAGATTTGAATTCTCAACCTACAGCCAAGCAGAGTTAGAGGTGAACCAGATGTTGCGGAGTTCTTCAAAATGTGCATTTCATTGTTTTGACTTGATGAAATGAGATTTAACTTTAGATCAAATGAAGGATGGAGAGCTCTGTCCTCAGAAAACTTTGACAAATTCCTTTAGTTTTTTTTTTTTTTTTTTTTTTTTTTACAATTACCTTTGTACAGATCTTCAGCAGCTGTTGGTAAAGTTTCAGGTTTAATATGTAAACCAACTTTTGTTTCTATTTCTGTTTTAAAGCAATATTGGGCAGGGTTAGTGTTTCAGGATAACTGAAACAAATTCAGAATAATCACCTCCTGTTGGAGGATGTTAAAACCAGATTGAGGCATCAGGTTCATAGATATAGCAATATTATAGTCCTGATTAAGGAGGCAGAAAGCAAACAAGAATCCAAGTTTCACATAATCTCTTTTATTAAAAAAAACTTTAAAAGATGCTGGAGCTGGCTCAACAATAACACAGCACAAAACCAGAAATAGAACCATGATGTTAGAGGTTACAGAGCAGAAAACAAACAGAGATTGCTTTACTTATGTAAACTAATCACCTTTTTTGTGCTGCAGAGAAATCCAATAAATAACATCTGCAGGTTTTATAGAACAAAAATGTTATTACATCGAGTTAAACATTTAAACTATCACGGCATCCTTTTGTGCTGTAAATTGGCACTATATAAAGCCAACCGTCATGCACAATTTGTCATAGCTAAATTCTAGGCTTCATTGTAAAATGAACTTAAATTGTTTTAACTATTTCAGTAAATTTACTTTACGATTTTTTATATTTTCCATGGATATAGATAACTGGTGTTTTTAAAAAAGCAAATAACAAAAATTTGCACTATATTTTAGAAATAGACAATGCAGACAGTTCTGCAGCACTGACAGCAGATGGAGCACAAACATGTTTATGTCTGCTGATTAGGCCTGGTGCAAAACCTCTTTTCAGGCTAAAAGAGATAAAGTAAATGATGCCAGGACAAGTACTTGACTAATATTGTTCAACAGTTTTAAAGCTCTAAAACTATCAGAACATTTCCTATAGTTTAAAATTTTATTCAGATACCAGAAAAAGTACATAGCCCCACCCCCACCTGTTGTTGCCCACTTCTGGAGCTGGGAAACAAGGCTGCACATATCGGAAATATTTCTAATCAAGGGAACAATATTCTTCTTCTGAGGTTTGTGTATACATTTCAATAGTCCTACATAGGTAGGCCTCATTGAAGAAACACTGTGTTAATGAGGCACAAGGGGGCATTAGACCTGTACCTTCAAAGTGTATAGGTCTACAGTAGGTACATACGCATGTAACTATTTATATTATCAATCATAAATTTAATTGTTAATGACAAATCTATGTATTTTATGTTTAAAAAGATTTTATTTGCAGAGTCTTGTCTTAATGTAGGTTATTATTTCAGCAAAGAGTATCTTGTTGAGTCTGTGCAAGTTCATCACTGTTACTCTAAGTCATGATTTATATTAGTTGACAATTCTTTCAATTATCAATTAATTCTGCTTCCTACAGTCCTTAATTAACACAGACAGATCTACTGTTTCCTATTAGTAAAGTCAGCCGTACTTCATTAAAAAAGTTAATTGCTTATCACAATAAATACTAAGTGTGTAAGGTTTTAACTGTATCGCAGCCAGGTGACTGGGTGACGATATGAAGAAAGTCTAGTCATGGATCTTTGCCAACTGGTCACCACCAACCTGTCCACGATTCTATCCAATTTACCCCGCTTAGTGACACATCCACTGAGAAGCCCACTCTGGTAATTGGCAGCTCCATAGACAGAAACGAGGCATTAGAGACACCAGGGACCATAGTCAAATGTTTGCCAGGGGCCAGAACGGGCGACATCAAATCCTACCTTAAACTGCTGGCTAAGGATAAGGTTAAATCGACTAAGATTGTGATTCACGCTGGGGGTAATGACACCCTGTAACACCGATCAGAGGTCATTAAAATTAGTGTTGCTTTGGTGTGTAAGTTTGTCAAAACAATGTCGGACTCCGTAATTTTCTTTAGTCCCCTCCCTGATCTGACCAGCGATGACAAACTTTCATTTGTCTTAGTCTTTTAAAGGAAACAGGATTTTAATCTGTATTTTTTAAAGTCAAATAAAGTCCAATTTAAAGGAAAATCTACATATTAATCTAGTTGAACTAATCATAAGAAACTTATCCTTTTGTTATTTTTTTTTATAGGTAATTTATCTTTAGACTACACAATATATGATCTATTTACATTGACACGGTATTTGACTGAAATAAGAGTGATTTTAAAAAGGGACTTTAACTGTAAACCAGTTTTAGATCTCCACTGTGGGATCCAGTTTTTTGGGAATGCTTTGTAAAATAAACCAGCGCAACATTTAAAATATCTAAGTAGAACAAAGGATTCCATAGGAAAACCCAGAGTTATCAGTTTTCTCGGTTTTTATCCAAAAGGGAAAAATACATATCTTATACCGTACATCTAAATCTTACATCTCAGATTTAAATCTGTGTAAGAAATGACAAAGCGTCACGCAGTTCAATTTATAAGTTGCCACCACACCATCAGCTCACAGAAATGTAAATAAAAAAATCAATAAATGTGAATCCCTTTATCATCTCAAAATGGGGAAATTCATTCTCTGCATTTAAAGAAGTTTGGTTTGAAAAAAAGGTGATCTTTGTTACAGACCTAATGGATGAGCATGGAAATTTCTTACATTTGAACACCTTTAAAGAAAAATTTGGTATCCACTCTTTGAACACAGAATTTAACAAAGCATGCAAAATAATACCTGTTGCCCTGCTGCATTTCAAGTTAGTCAATAAGAAATAATACTGCACAGTACTTAATTCAATCACTGCAGCATTTTTACACTTAAAAACATTGAGTCAATTTTAAAGGTGTAAAATCAAGTAAATATAACTTATGAATTTAGTAAATGTAAGTTACAAAAAATAAGTACATCTGAATAACTAAATGTAGTATCCTGAAGGATAAAATTGAGTAGATCTAATTAAAATCTTAAGTCAATATAATAGTAACCCTTGGTGAAAACCATGGGCGTAGGTTTGCATAGGGACCATAGGGACATGTCCCTACCAAAATTTTGAACCAACCTAATTGTCCCTACCAATAATTGGATGTGAGCAACATGTTTATAATTTACAGCAGTAGTTGTTGCAGCAGTGGCTTCTTTTCCTCTCGCAGCTCCTCTGCCTGCTCTCTCCTGTCCCTTTCATGTAGCCACGCATGGAACTGTGCTGCGCTGTTTAACTCCACTCTCATTGGCTGTTCTGCCTTAGGTTCCGCCTTCTCTCCCTCTGATTGGCTGTTGTCTAGTCCGCGTGTGCTTGGAGCACAACATTGAAAAAGTATTCACATTAGAATGCTGCGGTTATTATTAGGCTACAAAACTAGTCCCAATAAAAAAAAAAAAATAATATCATGTACACTAAAAAACAAAACCTTTTTTTTTTTCTTGTATAAAACGAAATATTCTGAGTCAGCCAGGAGTTCTGAAGACTGCTGGAAAATTGCGCAAATAAAGGCTGTAAGCATCAACATTTCTGATTCTTTGCCACAGCCACCTAAAAAAGAAAATGTGAGGGTTTCCTTTTTACCAATATTTAGTTGCTATTACTGTTTTCATTTTTTGATGACTCTTTGAGGAAGTTCAGGTATAATTATTAGCAGGTGTTATTTCTCTTATAGAGTATAACAACAAGAAATGGTGGCTAAACATCTGCTGTTTATCGTTTAAAAAGCATAATTAGGGTTCCACATACTAATAGTAATTTAATTGACTATTTATACTTCTAGAAATAGGATAAAGACAAGAACAAACAGATGAAGAATATCAACATTGATTTTATCTTACATAGATTTCCACACAGTCTATAAGTAAATTAGTACAAACATTAATGTCTGGTAAAAATGCTTGAATATGGCTGTTTATTTTGATATTATTAAATTACAGATAAGATAGTGTTATATTGTCTTTTATAATTGTTAAAAGTGATTTTATATTTGAATACACTTAGGCTCATTCTTAGTGTTGTGTTTGTAGATGATGCCACTAAAAAAGAAAATAGACATAAGGAGCTATTTAAACAGTCAGACAGTAGCAATATAGGACGATGATAAAAGGTTGTTACATTTAATCCTTTACTATTAAAAATGCACTTATACATTATATGATTATAGGAAACAGATATCCAGTAATAATGATGCAGGGCAGCTTGTAGGTGAAGCAGCTGCCTGGTGATGTC